ATCGCGTAGCTGGACCGTATCGTTCTGAAGCACAATCTCATGACACTTCGCATTCACACGATCATCACCATCATGACGAATTTCGTGCTATGCACGACGAGGTTTACATGTTATCAGTTTTTATAATAACTTAGCTAAAAGTCTTTTCTGAGCTTCAGACTGGCTCTGTGTCATCTTTGAACTGCCCAACCTTCGCTGCCAAATGTAAGTGGGCTAACACCAATGACGAAGAGTTAGACTGGACAACTCTGCAGGCGGTGCCAAATCCGGACAGATTTCTGTCACTGCTCGATGGCGAGGAGTATCCTGGTTAGTTCTTTCGAGTTCTATACTTGCTCGGGTACCTTTTCCCAGGGCCGTCGCGCGGCAAGAAGGCAGTGTCAGCGGATGAGTCGCAGTGTGTGATGTGCGATAGGACGTATAATGGTACATTCTATTTAACTTGACGCGAGATCACTACAGAACGAGCTGCAACTCGTCTGTGCCTTAGTTGCCGCGCGACGGGCCTCCTGTCGTGTACCCCCTTCTCCCCTACCCCGTCTACGATGACGAAAGGACCAAACTGTTAGTCGTCGATGAAAACGTGTAGGGTTGCGCCAAACATTTCACATCTAGTCAGAACTGTTGTGGAGCTTCTATGCGCTTTTTGTCCACAATGCTGAAGCAACATGGAGAAACAAGCTAAGGTTATGGAATTTTGTCCTCCTGAGTGGGTTTCCTACCTATTCATTCATTCCCGAGAAGGTAGGAAGTAATAAGGTCGAGCTGGATTTGGCTCGGCATCGGTATACTGATCAAACAGGTGGTAGAGGCGCCTCTTTCCATTGTGATATATTTCGAGGGACTGTTCAGAGTACGTGTTCCAGATCCGGCTGCTGGTGTTCTCACATCACCTCAACGCCCTGGTTGGGAAGGAGGTCAACTGATATCCGACCCCCTTCCGTGCTTACCGAATGGAATTCGAATAACTGCGACAGCATGGAAAACGCAGAGCGGTCCCAGCCACGACCAACCTAAATTACAGGTCAAAAAATAGTTTCAAGTTCATGTTACTTACTCTTTGAAAAATTACCCCCTGTTTAGGTGTGTTCGAAAAATGTCGCTGAAGTAAGGTTTCCATTGGTGAACTGTAACGAATTCGATGTGAGAAATGGAGTTCCAATCAGCGTCGAAGTGCCCGCCGCCAATAACCCGAATCAACCTGCTCACGTGAAGATTGAATGATTATTCATTTTTATATTAACAAATATAATATAATTCTTTTCCCAAAAAAATCATTTCAGATCGTTTTCTATGGGAACAATTTTGTGGCACCACAAGGAGGCGCGATATTTCTGCAAGATATCGTTGTCGAAGGGAAGCCTGACGTGCAATGGTGACCAGATTCCGAAGCAATCATCCAGTGCTGATAAATGAAGGCGAAACATTCCGACGGCAACCGGCTGACGAGCTGGATCCTCAGCAGTTAGCGGCGGCATACTCCAAGACCTACGATCCAGTCGGACCTCTCAAGGTCCTTATTCCTCTTTCTTCTTTTTACGGTGATGCACCACTCAGAAAATAGAGTTAAATGTCGGCTTGGAGTCTCTAGAATGTGCCGCACTTTGGGTTTTACTTAGAACTATGAGTGCATAGACTTAGCGTTGCTTCTATTGGTCCATTATAGCATTTTCTGCGGTATCATTCTGCAAAATTTGATTCACGCCATATGACTGACCTACTGAGAGGCTTTCGTCAAATCTTGTTTTTCAAAGGCGTTTCTTTTCCAGTCCGGCGAAGGGAGCAAATCACGGCTTTTCGGCTTGGCCGGTGAGGGCACGCCGTCAAAGTAAAAGCCACCTTCCCTTATTT